GTTTTTTTTTTATTTAAAAAGCTTGAATGTAACACCTTAAAATTAAGGATAATTTAATGACATGTGGCATTCTCTGCCAGTCGTACCTGGGTGCTAAAGACAATTGTTAGCAGGTGTAAAACATAATACTTATTTTAAATTTACATATATAAAAAATATTATAATAGGTAATAAAAATATATACACATAGTACATACACTATCACCAGGTCAGGACAATCACTCTTTAGTATCTCGATAAGTATAGCTTCCTTACTAAATTCTCTTAGTCGGTAAAACAGTTCGTATATATACGTAAAAGTTCCAAGCTCCAAACACAAATTTTGCTACTGCTGCTAAATGTAGCCGAAAAACGTCTTAAAAGGTCTTAGAAGTGAAAACAATTTATCAAAGTTGGCGGGCTAAACGTATATTTAAATTTTTTGTGAACAACAAACACAAATCGAAGTGCTTTCAACGTAAATAACATCCTACAAATAATGGATTTTAAGTAGTTTTATTAATTTAACTATAAACAAACATTTTCCTAAGTAAATAACTAAAACTAAAATATAAACTAGAAATTTCAAACTGGAGAAAGACTTTCAGCTTGTCGCAAGTAACACAATCGTATCATAGTTTTTCCCCAAGTCAGAAGTAACGCACGCGTTTTTATCATATTTTCTCATACCCTTAATCCCCATTTATTCAACTTTGCAAGTTGTTTTGTGTCATCTCAGTATTCACGTCCTTTCTAACCATATATTCTTTCTCACACTCCATCCCATGTCCATGTTGCTCAAGGGTTCTCGCTAAGTTAATGAATGGCCGTCTGGCTAACATAAACCCTACTTAAAAATGCTTTCGTTATGCAGTATGCTTGTTTAATACTAAGACTAAGGTTTCAAGCTACTGGACTGGAAAGGATACAGTATTAACATCAATGGTAGTACATAATTGGAGTACATCACTCACCTTCAATTTGCCGACGAAATAGTCCTTATGGCAGAATCGCTGGGGGAACTAAGCACTATCACGGTAATATTATCTATAAAAATTACCGTGGCACTACGCTCAATGACCACAATAGTGACTCCTAACAGATAGGTCTTAAGATAAACATGGATAATGTCACTCAACGAGCGATGGAAAGGGCTATGCTCGAAGTTTCTCTGCGTAATAGTCTTAGAAATGAGGTTATCCGAAGTAGAACCGGAATGAGTAACATAGCCCAACGGATAAGGTAAGCTAAAGTGGTAGTATAGCGGCCATATAGCGTGAAAACTGATGTGGAAGATAGGTTCTCGAGTGGCAGCCTTGTGATAAGACAAGCAGGAAATCAATGGATTCAGGTGGCACAGGAATGTGCTTTTATGGCATTACTTGAGAGAGGGAGGGTTTCCATGTTAGCAGTGAACTTGTGAGGGTCTTTAAATAATGAATCAATGAATAAACGTTTGTCGAACCTACTTAGTCCTTTTACGATAACGAGACATGCCTTATGATGACTTCATATAACAATGCTGCAATGGAAATATAATAAAGGTTTCAGTCAATACCTGTGTAGATCACTGACCTCTATATATACAAGTACGCGTATATATAGAGGTCAGTGGTGCAGATCTAAGTTGCATATTTCGTCAGTGTCATGGTTATAAATTATAATGCACTATCTCCACATATTGTTTAAATTTTATTGCAACTAACAATTTCATTGGTGTCGGGGGGGGGGGGCTCAAACCCGGGTTGCTGGCGTATTGTGATATTTACATCGAGCGCCAACCATCAGAGCTACACAATTTATGTTTTTTACTTTAATTTTATTTAAAATTTTTATTAGTTTTTTGTACAAAACTGGAGTAACAAACTTACAGTCTACATCAGAGTAAGTGACTTCTGCAGTCTGTGGACAACTGCAGCTAACTTCAAATGACGGCTTCAGTTGCGTTATCTGAGGATTAAGATGGATTGCTTACCAGTCTGTAATTATACTCGTACTGGCTTTCTTAGCCCTTCAGACTGAAACAGAACAGTGAAAGCACTACTATATTTAATTATATATATATATATATATATATATATATATATATATATATATATATATATGTGTGTGTTGTAATATAGTTGTATCTATGCAGATGAACTCCTAGTCAAAAACAAGTCCTATCACCAATACATATATTTAAGAATATTTTTGTCTATCACAAGTTACCTTTTGTCGTCGCCATGTGTTGGGGGCACATATATATATATATATATATATATATATATATATATATATATATATATATATATATGTATGTTGTGTGTGTGTGTGTGTGTTTTGTTTTTCAACCGAAAATTCACAAAACATGAATTTTAAAATGAATTTACAATTTTATTCACTGTAAACGTAGAATATTTAATGTATTGAACAAAATATTAATTCATAAAATTGTTCAAAATGAAATAAAATTACGAAAAATAAGTGGCTATGAGAGAAAGCGAGAAAGAAAAAGTTCGCGCGCACTGCTCCCTCTTGCTTATATCCCTCGTTCGGCTCACCCGATCACACTTTTCGTAATGCTTTCGTCACGCGTTCGCCAGCTTACTCCCCACGTCAAGCGTAAAAAAGTTTTACTTCAAAAACTGCGGTTGTCAATTTGCCTTCTAACATCCTTCCTATGAATCAATCTCTGGGAGTAGCCTATATTCAGCAGAAGTAAGAGCAGAAGCACACTTTGTGAAATGCTTAACAGTGTATAAATTAAAAGCATTAAGACTCAATCAACAGCGATATACAGCAAAAGCAAAATATGTAGATCTTCGTAAGAAGCGCCTAGCACTTTCGTAACCCCTGACCTGAATTGTGTGACGCACCCACGAGACGTGATGAAATTAAAGTTGTCTTTCAACAAAATGACTATTGAAATGATACATAAATTACGCACACATACAAAATGTATCCTAATGCTTTTAAATCATACTCTAGACTATTGTGTTGTGTCATAAAATATCATAAAAGAAGAATGAATACAGTAAATATTTATCACTCATTTAAATACGAAATGCAAATGTGGTGCTGGTGGATTTAGGATATTTTATGTATTTAAAGCACATTTTAATTAATAAAGCAAATCTTAAAGAGACTAATAAAAGATATTTTTTTATAGAATTGCATTGACAAACGAGCACACCGTCCACCAGATGGTAAATTGATGCTGTGGTCCATAGACATCTACATTCACTTTCGATTAAGAATCAATATGTAGATGTATTGACACCTACGTTGAGGGCTACGATGGAATGCCTCATTTACAGTAAAAGGGCCTCCGGTTCTCTACACTCACAATATGAAACACGGCAGCATTAAGCTGCTATTTTCCACTGGTGTATTGTGAGAGTCCCAGAAGAGCCGACCCATTCGTGCAACAGCCATAATATAGTTGGTTTTACTACGTAAATACTTTCAATGTCTTGTATGTTAATACTTGGTGTTTATAGAAACATATTTTACAGCAACTGTTTTATTTTTTGTCTATTTGGTCTTATCATTAGAATGCACCGAAAAAACACCTTGTTTATATTATCAAGTAGGTACGTACATGATTTATTTCATAATATTGTAATATTATCTTCTGTAAGTTTTTTTTTTCTAAAAAATAGTAGACAATTTGTACACTATCACATTCTTCATCGTTTTTCAACAAACGGGACATTACTTACTTATGATTGCTTATGATAAAAAGAAAGTAAGGTACGCCAGTGGGTCGGTGTATACAGTGGGTGTGTAATACGAATACGAATATCAAACTTACTATTCGGCGAATATAAATTCGAATACGAATATCTCGCCATGGTAATAAATCAATAATTCATTTGATGATTTTCTATTGTTCTAATAATTAGAATTTAAGTTATTTTTTTAAACATAAAATTTGTAGATTTTCTGGGTTTAGGCGATTTCTTTTTGCAGTCTGGATGTTCCCAGTCGTTGAAAAAAACCTTTCCGATGCGACTGTACATGGTTTTAGTGCAAAATATTTTTGGGCGAGCTTCAACTTCTTTCTTTCGCTTTTCAACAATCTTACAAAACTATTAAATTAAACAAAACGCTCTTGCTTTCGTTCGACCGTCAAATGAAATTAATGAATCAATCTAGGGTTCGCAGTGATAGGGAAACTCCCGGAATTCATCGTTGCAGCTAAAGGGCCTATGCATTCGTCGTATTTTTTCGCGCCAATGACGCGCTTTTTCCAAGTCTGCCAGTAATTAGAGTTGCGTACAAAAATATTAATTTTTAAATATTTGTGATTGGTATTCACTGAATACGAATATTCGGTAAATATCTACTATTCGGCAAATACGAATATTCGTATGCGTATTCGTTGCATCACTAGTGTGTGCGTGTGTGTGTGTGCGCGTGTGTGTGTGTGTGCGTGTGGTGTGGGTTTCGTGTGCGTTTGCGTGTGCGTGTGCGTGTGCGTGTGCATATGCGTGTTCGTGTTCGTGTGCGTTTGCGGGTGCGTGTGTGCGTTGATGGGTGTGTGTGTGTGGTCGTGTGCGTGTGCGAGTACGTGCACGTATGTGTGTACGTGTGCGTGTGAGTGTGCGTGTGCGTGTAGTGCGTGTACGTATGCGTGAGGGTGTGCGTGTGCGTGTGCACGTGCGTGCACGTCTGCGTGTACATGCGCGTGTGAGTGTGCGTGTGCGTGTGTACTTGTACGTATGCGTGGGCGAGTGCGTGTGCGTATGAGGGCGCGTGCGCGTGCACGTGTGTGCGTGTCTGCATTTCGCTGCACTGCCGATATATGTTGAAGGTGCTTATCTTAGAATTTTAGTCGGTAACGGTAAATGCCTGATAAATATCCCGCGAGGCGAATATATATGCCTTAGGCAACTTACCATGAAAAGAGAAATGGTTCATCTCATTAGTCTTATAGATTCAAAACTATGATCTTTAAGTTTTGCAGTCAGTTCCAACAACTATTAGGCTGCATCTTTTAAATATAGTAACTAATTAACATAATTCCCCTATTTCAGACTCAAGGCAGCCAGCAGTGACGCCACTGCAGGGACCCATACTTTTACGTAATGGGTCCGTGCCTGTTGTACCACTCACGTCGTACCCCACAGTCAATAATGGCTCCTTTTACCAAATACCCGTAAGTATCATCATTATTCTAATGACTTTTTTTATTGGACACTACATTCAGCATTGAGTAAGGGCATATAATCCATCTTTTATCTTCTTCTATCTATCTATACAATATACATATACCATTGCTGTTCATCATTACTTTATTTATATTCTTTTAATGACTACTTCTTTGGTCTAGTAGTCGTAAACGCGGCTGATGATCTTGAGGTCCCAAATTCAAATCCCAGGTTGGGTTAATATCAGTTATTGGGTTTTTCCCACAAAAAATTCTAATATTTAAAAGAATAAAGAAATTAGTCCTTTCCACCGCAAAGCAGGTATGCGTAGGTATTTTTTAAAAAGTGTGACTGCTAATCGTCGGGACAAAATAAATAAATTTTGCGGTAGCAACCCGGAGTCAGGAAGGCCTCGGAAAGCACATAAAGTACGTAATCTTAGTACGTACCCATGCACTCGATTTCCCTCTGGTCGTATCATATTACCGTCCCATCTACTACTGTACTAGTACTACGATTATGAGAGTGAGGGAATCACAGAGAATATAACCACTAGAGAGCGTATAGGCAGATTTCTTCTAAGCACACACCTCGCTACTGCGGGCCGGGGGACGAGGAAAAACGCGCGGCTGCAAATGGTCAAGTTGTGTTGTTATGGCTATCGTTAGGGTTGCTCTTCTTAATAAAGGAAAATGTTCGATATCGATAAAATGGATTTTAACATTATGAAAAATACTCGATTAAAATCATAGAAATAATATTTAACCAAAACCAATCAATTACAACGAAAACATGTATTCATTATATTATTATTGATTTTTAAAATACATTAATTTGGTATATTTATTTCGAATTAAAGTTTAAGGGTCCTGATTGTTCTTTGTAAAAAATTATAAACAAGCGTCTACATATTTGTAAATTATGCATCTTGCTAATCCAATTAAATCATTTATTTTTAATTTTAAGTTAATTCTATTTCAAATTGATGAAAATTTATATCCGGGAATCAATAATACCCAATCAGAGATTTTAAAACCGATCTTATAAAATAATTAGTACTCGTATTATATTTCGAAGACAGCACTTTTGAACCACTCCCGTTGATCGCCCTCTTAATAAAAATTTTACAACGACGATTTCTTGTACTGTAGTGGATCTGTACAATAACTTGTCTTTAGTGTCCTTTTAAAATTGTAAGGCGTTCTGATTTGGTGCACCAATCTAACTAATTTAACTAGGTAACTAATAAACTTTAACTAGGAAAAAATACCGACGAACTGAGAACCTCCTCCTTTTTTCTGAAGACTGTTAAAAGTAGATAGGTATTTTTTCACAGTGTGTGAATTGAATAATTTTATTATTTTCGATATCGACTTTCAGCTATTAAATGTAATAGTAAGTACTAATGTTTACGGTAAACATACAAAGGGAAAGAAAGGGATAGAAGCATTAGAATTGTCTAATAATAGAACGAGACTTTTCCAAAAGACATCAACGCGCGACTAAATCGTATCGTCATTTACCTGGCCACCGTTTTAGATAGACCTCTGCAGTGGCTCATAATCTGAATTAATCAAAAATAATTTTCGTATTTTTTACTTAGCAATAAAAATTTACTCCATTCTTTTTGGACATCTGTCCTGGAATGTTTCCCACACCACCTGAATCCCCATGAAGGAATTATGATGCCTTATAATTGCATAAAAGTTATAAAAATTTGTATTAATTTAGCGTGCACACAGGTCTAACACTTGGACAGTACTAAAATGATTAATAGTACCATAGCCTATGCATAGGCGACAAAATACTTATATTTTTCGAGCGTAGGTGCAGTGTATGCGCAGTCAAGTGGTTATATAGGTCTTTGGAGGGAATAAAGAGTGCACCTGTGCCTGCACTTACACTTGGACGCTATAACCCTGTCCTGCACATACTGCTAATTTCTATTGAGACTACCCGCAGTGATGGAAATTGGGTCTTGAGGACATTATTATTCTTTTAATTTAATATTTACCGACAGGTGTTCACTTTGAATAAATATCCTCAAAATCTTTACAATAGTACTCGCCTCAAATTAGTTATTCCTTATTCTTTTAAGAAACAACTTTGGTAGACACAGATATTGCCATCTGTTTTGATGGTGATTAGAGGATGACTGATCCCACAAATTCGCTTAAAGCGAAACACCTACAACTTTGCAATGAAAATAAATAACGCGACTTGCAGTAGTGGATCTAAATTTGGAGGGGGTTAGAGACTGAAAACTATCTTCGTCTTCTTCATAATCAGCCCGTAAACTTTACCGCAATATATGGTACTTTGTTACTGTAGGGGTGATTTTAGTATTATTATTGTGATTAGGTGAATAATGGAAATATGAGAGGTTTACAAGACGCATCTTTAACATTGCCGCCTATAGCCGGTTTGAGTATTTTATGTTACATGATTATATCGCCATATATTGAAAGCCATTACATTTTTATGGCGTTTTTCAGTAGTCGCCTCTTATCATACTCTAGCACGTCACCGCTCGATGCAGTCGACCCAAACGTCGCGAGCACATCACATAACGACACTACACCCACACTAAATGGGACAAACACTAATAGGACAACGAATGGGACTCGTCGCACCCGCAGACGGGCACGACGCGTTCCAGCTCACACCGCGTACACACCGTACACCCGCGTTCCTGGACGGTTCTCACCGCCCAGACCATCGACCGACACGAGCTGAGCAGTCAGAGACGGGGGTCCGCACTCCCCCCCTCGGACTGCGGTTAGATAGCTCAAAGAAAAACGCCTAAAAGGCGAGATGATGATTGGTAACAATATCAAATCATAAACCATTTCATCATCATCCTCACCTCATTGCCTTTCCCTTTTTGCTGGCAGGTGAGTTGAGCCCTGAGACAAGATAAAGCTGTAAGAGTCACATAGACAAACAGCACTAACATCTAGATAATAGATCTAGCACGTAACGTGGTGATGGATTTATTTACGCCGCCACTGTGAGTACACGGCAAACGAATTATCATTCATATCATTGACATTCGCAATGCAAGTTCTCTCTTCCTTACTTCTTCAACATCTTCCTTAGTTTCTATTTTATAATTTTCTTAGTGCATATCTACGTTACTTGGTTCTATTTTAAATATAATATTGGACGGATACGGCACACTCGATGTTTACGTCATGCATGCTTTAAAAAGTAAACTAACAAAGATTCCATGTGAACTAAATCGCGGGCACAACTAGTGTACAAATAGAATTCTTCGGCATATAGTTTAACGTCTTTGCTTTCTCATCTGTATATGATGCTATTTTTTATTCTGAAAAAAAAATGTTGTTCAGAAAAAAATTATTCTGAAAAAATGTTTTTTACATTAAAATCATTATCAAATCTAAACTAAACCGTATGACCACTTACCAAAATGAAATGGGTATATATTAATTTAACAGCTGATTTATTCGTAGTTATATCTATAAGAGCATTGACTCCTTTTAACGATATTTTTCTGTGATATTCATTTATTAAAATACATAAATGGTGTTACTCAAAATCTTGACTACAAAAGTAAATCTCTACGAAGTACGTATCTCCGGTTAAATTTATAAAGGAAATTAAGTCTGTTTTGTAAGATTTCAAGATAGATACATTTTTAATCATGCCAATTCATGCGATATTTATCGATTTTAATAATGCTGTTTGTGCTGCGAATTATGTTTCTTTATACGATCAATCTTTAACCAAAACCAGGTGCAACTGGTAACATTTAAAGTACAAATTACAGTTATTAACCTTAAACTATAGTGTAACAAGCTACTACGTGTCATTATCAGTTGCAGCTAGACCTTCACAGTCAAGTTTTTGCTAAAGTCTGAACTGGTAGTGTTGTATTAAAATTCCACAACGTTGTAATACTTTAATGAAATAAGAACATTTAATTTTAGATACAACTAGGTCAGAAGGTGGTCATAAAACTTACCTATATATTATTAATGTTAATCTATCAACAAACAATTTGTAGTATTAGAATTAGTTACTCTGTAATTACGAATTAAAGTTACTTATTTTCACCTGCATAATGTAATGTTTATCCATTGCAATCGAAAGTTTTATGAAGTTTTTAAATAAAAGTGAAAACAGGGCACAGGCCTCCTTTCATTTCAGTCAGGGTTGTAGGACAAGGAAATGTACACCGCCCTGGTCTACCGCGTGTTGGTGGTTATCAGATGATTTCGAATTAAACTTTTAAAGGTAAATGTAATGAGTGTTTCATTATAGCATTTATTACTTACGAATTTTTAAATAAAGTTAAAATATAATGATTTCTTATATTTAAGTGAACACTACACATTGATTAAAACTACTTACAATATAATACGTGATAAAATCCGATAAAATAAATAAAACGCGATAAAATCCGTAAAAGTAGTTTTAATCAAAGTTAAAACATAATTCGTTCATTTTTGAGGGATATAAGAGCTAGAGGATTGGCTTATCTTCATAAGCATTTATTTTTCAAACTAATTTCAACTCTAATTATCAATTATGATGGCGCCGAAACTAATTGCGCGTAGTATGCAATTTAATGTTTTATGATTGAGCAAATGCATATTTTTTATCTTTACAGCAGATTTATACTTTCAAACGTACACTGCTAAACATAGGCACATTCTAAACATTTTTAAGTGGTAAAGCTACTCTGCAGCTATATAAATTGTATAGTTAGTTGTAGCACGAATGGGTCAGCTCGACCGGGCAAGAGAAAAGAGAAAGTCTTCTTCTTCTTCCTTGATTTTTCCCTTTATTTGGGGTCAGCTCTCCTCGTTTTTATGCGCCAAAATATCTTGAGTTGTCCGTGTTTCAAGCTGTGCTCGTTCCAGATCCTTGGTTACGGTTGTCCACCACGAGGTTAACGGGCGTCCTCTGTCTTTCTTTTTCTCTGGAATTGCTAAGGCCTTCCTCAGTGAATGTTCTTCATCCCACCTCATTACATGCCCAT